GGGGGCACTGACCTGTTTTAGAGAATATAATTGTGAAGGGAAGTGAAGTATGTCAGTGCAGGACCCTGTAGCTCCCCCTTTTCTTCCAGTATGGCAAAAGCAATATTTGAGATGGTAACTGTTTAATCAATGATAGAGTTTGGATGTTATTGTTCCCCTAAAACATGTGGAAATCTGATCCCCAATGTGGCAGTGCTGGCAGCTGTTTTGAGTCCTGGGGGACAGATATCTCTCAAATGGATTAATGCTCTCCCTAGGGTAGGTAGTAGTGAATGAGTTCTCTACTAGTTCCTACAAGAGCTGGTTGTTTAAAAGACCCTGGCACTTCCCCTCTCTCTCTCACTTCCTTTCACCATGTGATTTGCTTCCACCTGCCGCATTCTTGCCACTTTCCACCATGAGTAGAAGCAACCTGAGGCCTGCATCACATGCACTTATCCCAGAATCGTAAGCCAAATAAAAGTACATTCTTTATAAATTACCCAGTCCCAGGTATTCTTTTATAGCAACACGAAATGGACTAATGCAACAAATTTGTATTGAGGAGTGGGCTGCTGCTATAGATACCTGAAAATGTGGAAATGGCTTTGGAACTGGGTAATGGGCAAAGGAAGGAGTTTAGAGGACTCAGAAGATGACAAAAAGATGAGGGAAAGTTTGGAACATTACAGAGATTGGTTAAATGGTTGCAACCAGAATACTGGTAGAAATGTGGGCAGTAAAGGCCATGCTGATGATGAGGTCTCAGAAATAAGGAACTTATTGGGAATTGGACAAAAGATCACCCTTGCTACACCACAGCAAGTAACTTGGCTGCATTGTGTCCATGCCCTAGGACTTTGTGGAAAGTGGAACTTAAGAATTGTGAACCAGAATGTTTGGTGGAATAAATTTCCAAGCAGCAAAGCACTATGGAAGCTGCATGGACACTTGCAACAGCCTGTACTGAGGTATGGCAGAAAAAGCATGATGTAAATCCAGAATTTAAAAGGGGAGCACGGCATAAAGATTTGGAAAATATACAGCCTGTTCACGTGGTAAAGAATGAGAGAGCCCTTTCAGAACAAAAATGCAAGGGTGCAGCACATAGATTGGTTGCTAAAGACATTAGCTTGCTGATGAGGCAGCCAGATGCTAAAAGTCAAGACAACAGGAGAAAAGCCCTGAAGGCATGTCAGAAGTCTGGAAGGGCGCCTGTCCCATCACAGACCCAGAGGCCTAGGGGGACCAAGTTGTTCTGGAGGACAGACCTAGAGCACGGCTGCCCTCAGGAACCTACTCCCTGTATCCCAGCTGCTCTGCCTGGAGCAGCCCTGCCTCAAGTGGCCCCAAGTATGGTTTGTATAGCAGCTCTGGAGAGCATGAGCCAGAAATCTTGTTGGCATCCACATCATGTTAAGTCTGCAGGCTGGCAGAACATGAGAGCAGTGGAGATGTGGCAGTCTCCACCCAGATTTCAGAGGATGCATGGAAAAGGCTGGGGGCCTAGGCCACGGGGGTGGAGCCCCCACAAAGGCCGTCTACTAGAGCAATTCTGAGCAGAAATGTGGGGTCAGAGCCACCACAGATAGCCTCCACCAGGGAGATGTCTAGTAGAGCCAAGGAAGGAGGGCTGCCGTTGGGACCCCAGAACTGTAGGGCCACTGGCAATGTGCAACACTGGCCTGGAAAAGCTGCAGGCTCCTTTTTCTCTGGGCTGTGCCCAGCAGAGCTGTAACACTAAACAGCAATTTGGTTGCAAACTTGAATCTCTGGAACCATCAGATAGCTCCTGGTTAAGTGATACTCAGAAGGAAAAAAAGTAGGTTCCAGGGGCTCTCAAGGAGGCTGTTTAGGAAACATACCAGATGGAAGCAAGAACAGAAAGAAGTGAAGCCCCATCACTATGATAAGCCAGAGAACAGGAGGGTTACAGCTCTTAATCAGTAAACAAAAGGTGTGGAAGATACACTCACTCAACTTCTACTGACTGATGCTTAGCCAGTTTATTTTATATCTATATAAAATACACACACACATACACACGAGGGGCATTCAAAAAGTTCCTGTAAAGATTTGTATTATATTTTAATTCTATTTTTCCAGAGAGTGAGAGAAAATAAGGAAGGGGGGAGCAAGGGGGCTCTCTATAGTTATTTATTGTGTGCTAGGTCCTCTATATACACTGTCCTATTTAATCCTCATGAGAATCTTATGAGAAAGGGATGATTTATTCCCATTTTACAGATAAAAAAACCTGAGACTCAGAGAAAGTAAATGGCTCTTCAAAGTCACATAATTGCTAAGTGGAGAAGGCAGAATTCAAACTCAACTTTGATAACCCATAGTTGGCCTTATTTCATTACTCGAATTTTGGCACCAGATGGATTTCTTTTCACTCAAGCATTTGACATATTGAAAGTTTTAATAACTTCAATTCTTCAACAACATACAGTAACATCTTAGGGTTAGGAGTATTTTGATGCATCATTTCCCCTCTCTTTTATTTTCCTCATGTCAATTCTCTCTCACTCACACACACACAATTCTGTAACATTAAAAATAGACTGGCAGGACTAATAAATTACTGAGTAGTACCACTGGGTGTTTATCTGCCTTTATGTGCTTACCAGTGTGTCCTATGAAGGTAACTATAATGGCTTTAGTCCCTAGTGAAGGATAGGTTCACCATCATTACAACTTTTCATTCCACCTGACTTCTAACTGGTTTAATCCCTATACCCCACCTCTTAACATGGCATGGATAATCTAGCACAAGGAACAGCAAACATTTCTGTAAAGAGACAAATACAAATAGGAAATATTTTAGGCTTTGCGGGACATACAATCTGCTATAACCTGAATATGTCCCTCCAAAATTCATATGGTGAAAATTAATCACCTATGTGATGACACTAGAAGGTGGGGCCTTAGGGAGGTGATTAGGTCATGAGGGTAGAGCACTGATGAATGGGATTCAGGTCCTTAAAAGGGGCTGAAGAGATGAGTTCACCCTTTATACCATTTGAGGACAGTGATAAGGTACCTTCTCTGAACCATGAAGCAGGCCCTCACCAGACCTTGATCTTAGACTTTCCAGCCTCCAGAACTGTGAGAAATATATCTTTGCTGCTTATAAGCTTTCCAGTTTATGGTATTTTGTTACATCAGCTTGAAGACAGTCTCTGCTGCAGCTACTCTACTTTGCCATCACATGCAAAAGCATCCAAAGACAACATGTAAATGAATGTGGCTGAGTTTCAATAAAATATTATTTACAGAAACAGGTGGTAGGCCAGACTTGGTCCATGAGTCCAGGCCATAGTTTGTTAATTCCTGCCCTGAATCATTAATGCTGAATATTAAGGTGATGAAAGAGTTGAGTTCCTTTTCCTGTATTTTGAATCAGCCATTATCCTACCCTGACCTCTCATACCCTAAGCCTTCCCACCCACCTCAACCCCCTTCAATGTGTTTTTTTGCTCATTCTAAAATCTCTTTGTGAAAAATCCTTTCACTCTTGTTTCCCATGATTTCCATCATTACAGGATTTATACTCTGTTCATCCTTAATGATTGTGTTCTCCACTACCACCACTTCTATAAATTCTATTCCCCTAATTTTCCTCAATCATAAAATTAAGGTCTACTGAGAGGGAATTATAAGAGGATAATGTGGAAGTGGCAGAAATATGGACTGGTTGCTAGATGGTCATGAAGGAAAGGATTCAGAAGAGAAAAAAGAAAAAATCTGTGGTTAATTTTTTTTTTGTATAATTTTCTATAGCTTTCTTTTCATACAACACATAATATGTAAAAGAGTAACATTAAAAATCTGACATTTGTATAATGTTTTACTAAATATCTACTTAAACTTTTCCAATCCTACCACTGGTCTTTGGTCACCCAAGGAACTCATGCTAAAATATCACTGTGTTTTCACGCACTGTCTATCTTCTTTAGGGCTCTGGGATAAAGGCCAACCAACATGTATAGAACAAGAACAACAAAAACAATGTGGGTAAACATGAAGGCCAGAGAAATGGCAACTTCTTCATGAAGGGAAGCTGCTTATCCTCAAGGGAGCCACTTGAGGACTGTCCTATGAGCTGTTTTTCATGCCTGACAGGAAGGTATGCCCTGGTGCCTAAGATGTTTCAGTTCTTCTTGCCTGGGACCCTAAATACAACAACACATTGAGCCCATCAACTTTTCAGACCCACAATAATCACTGGGGCTTTTTCTCAAAGTGACAAAGCATAGTTTACAAAAAGCTGAATACTGTAGAGGAATGAAGTCTCCCTGATACTTTGATTAGAGAAACAAGGATAAGAAAACAGGGACTTGGTTCACAACTCTCTACTTTAGGGTAACTTCCAGGGAATAAAAATTCATGGAAGATCTCCACAGAAGTGGGATACCAATTACTTAAATCTATGACCAACATATTCCACATGAACATAACTTAAAACCTGCTGTAAATACATTCTAGTTATGTTCATCAAATTAAACAGTAGCCTTTGGGGACAGGGAAAAAGTCCTAAGCAACTCTCAACACTTAGCCTTTTTAGGTTTTATGGGTAATATAAAAGAAATGATACTCTCTGGAGAAGTGACACCATCTGTATATCTGAATCTCTACTTTGGATTCAAAGAGTAACAAGAACCACCCTATATCTTCCTGATGGAAAGGATATAAACCCTCAGCCTAACCTATCAAATAAGAATTTCCTTACAAACTGAGAGGCTACAAAAGGGCTCTGATATGACCAAGAGTTGGGGAAATTAGATTTCATAATGTTCATACTGCTTCCCACTCTCAGGGATTTCTTGAATTTCCACAAATGGGTATTTGGGAGGTTGGGGATCAAATCAATGGAGATAAGAAACATACTACCTATGGCTCAAAAGAATGTATTATGCAAGTGCAATTAGAAGCATAAAGAATTGGTTGTCAAGTGCATATTAAGGGTCTTCCACCTAAATACTTAGGTATTTAACACAGTGATAAAACCAACTTACATTTCTTCACATTCAGTAATTTTTCAGGGTTGCTCTTCAGTGTGAATTCTTTGATGTCTGATGAGGGATGAACTGCACTTAAAGCTTTTCCCACATTCATTACATCTAAAGGGTTTCTCTCCAGTATGAGTTCTCTGGTGTTGAATAAGAGCTGATGAATGAATGAAGGCTTTTCCACACTCACTACATTTGTAAGGTTTCTTTCCAATATGAATTCTCTGATGTTTAGCAAAATTTGAGCTCCGGCTAAAGGTTTTCCCACATTCATTACACTCATAAGGTTTCTCTCCAGTATGAATTCTCTGATGCTGAACAAGATGTGTGCTTTGACTAAATGTTTTTCCACATTCACTACATTCATATGGCTTTTCTCCAGTATGAACTCTCTGATGCTTAGTAAGGGATGAGCAATGGCTAAAGGCTTTCCCACATTCTTGACATTTATAGGGTTTCTCTCCAGTATGAGTTCTTTGATGTTTAATTAGTGCTGATGAATGAAGGAAAGCTTTATCACATTCATTACATTCATAAGGCTTCACTCCAGTATGAATCAACTGATGCTGCACAAGATGTGTACTTCGATTAAAACCTTTCCCACATTCATTGCATTCATAAGGTCTCTCTCCAATGTGAATTCGCTGATGTACTGCAAGAGATGAGCTTTCTGTGAAGGTTTTCTTGCACTCACTGCACTCAAAGAGAATTCTAGTATGAGTTCTCTGATGTTTAGTTAAATTAGCTTTGTGGCTAAAAGATTTACCACATTCATTGCAGGTATAGGGTTTCTCTCCAGTATGGACTCTCTGGTGTCGAATAAGAACTGAATGGTAAGTGAAGAGTTCACCACAATCATTACATTTATGAGGCTTTTTCTCCTTATAGGTTCTCTGCTTTTTCATTACGTTTGATTTCTGTTTCAATCTTTTCTCAAGTGTATGAAAGGTATAGGATCCTTTGGGAACTCTGTCTTGAGCAATAAGGACAGACTTCTGACTGAAGTTTTTCCAACATACATCACGCTCATGATCTCTTTTCTCAGGGAGTGAATTCACATGGGTAAATATTTCTCTGAAGTGTTTCTCCTGATTTCCTTGCTGATTTTCTAACCAATTTTCACATTCAAGAGCTGTTTCCAAGTTGGAGTCATAGACACTACTCCTTGTTATTCTGTCTATTATTGCAACCTGGCATGATTCTTTGGAAAAATCTTGCACTGAAGTTGAATCCTTGCTCTCAGGTCTTGTCTCCATGTCTGAAAGACATTGATTGGAAATGCAAATTTCCTTTGTTTCTGTGCTCAACAAAAAGGCAGTACTGTAATAGGTAAGAGTTAATAAAGATGAAAGCATGCCATCAAGAAATAAGTGGATTTGACTCAATAGATGATTTGCAAAGAGAAGCATATGGAGGGAAACAAATGGTCAGAATATGCAGAGAAAATGAATACACCCCATCCAGTACAGCCATAAGAGAAGGAAGATGACCAGAAATATAGAGGAGGGATGCAGATAAAGCAATATATCAGTGAATGAGCAGGCAATGAGTACATTAGACCAGCATGGAGAGAAACAACTTTTTACAGAATACCTACTGCTATAATAAATATCCAGGCAGTTATCATCTTACTTAGTGTAGAGTACAGTTATGACTTCTAAGTGTCCAGTCTTCCAATCCTACTCATGTCCAAATGTGCATCCCACTGCCAGTTTAATGTAACAATGCTTTTATAATATGTCCCTGATCAAAAATCTCCTGTGATCTCTCATATGTAATGGCAAAGATATGAAATGATATATGTACAAGGCTATTCACTGCAACACTGATGTAGCAAAAGAAAGTTAACAGCTCAACTGTAGAAAAATGACTGAATAAACTATAGAGTATACATATAATGAAGTACTATACAACTTTTTAAAAAATGAGAAAGATCTCTATATTGCTATGATGTGATCTCCAGAATATAATGAGAAAAATAAAAAAAGCAACGTGTAAATGAGCATGCATACCCTGCTACATTTTGTGTAGGAAAAAAGGACGGGGATACAAATATATATACTATTTGGTTATATTTTCTTTTTTTTTTCTTTTTCTTTTTTTTTTTTCCTTTTTGTCTTTTTTCGTGTCCGGCAACGGATCACAACCCTCAGTGTCGCGCCTGTACCGGACCGGGACCGGCAACGGGATCGCAACCCTCGGTGCTGCGCCCGCACCTCGCTCAGCCAGTGAGCAGCAGGTCTGTACGTGGGATCTGAACCCTCGGCGGGAGCGCCACCGCACTCTCAAGTGGCGCACTGTAGCAGTGCGCCACCGGGCCGGCCAATATATTTTCAAATACCAAGGAAGGATAAACAAAAGACTAATAAAAATGTTACCTATAGGGAAAATATCAAAACAGAAGAAAGAGGACAGGGGTGGGAGGTAAACCTCTCTAAATATATCTAATATAAGTATATTAGAATTTTTATATCCAATATGAAACTATTTTGTAAAGATAAAATAGTTTAAACACCATGGTTCAAAGGAAGAAACAGATCAGTGAAATAGAAAAGTTCAGAAATAAACTCAGGTATATAAAAGAATTAAGGATAATATAAAGATGATACTTCAATTGTTAAACAAAAGATAGATTTGTTTTTCTAACAAATGGTGCCATAACAATGATTACACATTTAGAAGAAAATTAAGTTAGACTTTTCCCTCATTTCATACACCCAAATAAGTTCTATTCATTCATCTACTCATCTGTTTATCTATTTTATTTAACAAATATCTATTGAATATCTACCATGTACTAGGCTCTGTGCTAGTTACTGGGGGAAAATACACATAGTCCCTACACACAGAGGTAAAGAGAATTTAATCTAACATTCACAAATAAATATAAAACTGAACCTGTTCAAAGTATTGAGAAATAGAAGGCAAATGATGCTATGAAAAATCTGAGGGTGGGGCTGGCCCGGTGGCGCACTGCTACAGTGCGCCGCTTGGGAGCGCGGCGGCGCTCCCACCAAGGGTTCGGATCCCACATACAGACCGGCCGCTCACTGGCTGAGCGAGGTGCGGGCGCAATACCGAGGGTTGCGATTCCGTTGCCGGTCACGAAAAAAGACAAAAAAAAAAAAAAGAAAAATCTGAGGGTGAATAAGAGGAAGAGGATTCTCTGAGGAAGTAAATCACTGAGATGAATGAAAGTGGACTGGACTTGGGACTTGGGGGCATATTCCATGATGTGACAAAAGTGTGGGGAATGATATGTATGAAAGCCCCAAGGTAAGAGGGACATTCAAGAAAAGTACAGCGGCTGAGAATATGAACTAGAATCAGAACACATGAAACTGAATCCCAGTGCTGCCACTTACTAGTTCTGTGATCTTGGACAGTTATTTAACCTCTCTACTTCGGTTTCCTTATGTGTATGATATGGCAATAACAGTGCCCACTTCATATGGAATAACAATAATAGTTACCTTAATGAGCATTAAATGAGAATATTTATAAAGCACTTAAAACTGTGACATAGCATAAGTGCTACATAAGTGTTTGTTAAATAAATAAAACATAAATTGATAAAAGGCTGGTATAGGCAGGTAGAGATAGAGATTTTGACCTGTGGTCCATGGACCCCTGGGAGACTGGTAAGTTCAAAACTACTTTCAAAAATAACACTTAGATGTTATTTGCCTTTTTCACTGTTGTGGTATTTTTCCTGAGGTTGCAAAAGTAATGGTGGTAAAACTGTTGACAACTTAGCACAAATCAGGACAATGACACTAAACTTATTAGTAATTACTATATTCCTCCCCACCATGTAACTCTCAGTTAAAAAGCAAAAAAGCCAGTTTCACTTAAAAATGTCTAAAGAGGGCCGGCCAGGTGGCGCACTGGAGAGTGCGCCGCTTGGGAGCGCGGCGGCGCTCCCACCGAGGGTTCGGATCCCATGAGGTGACCGGTTCCTGCTCACTGGCTGAGCGTGGTGCGGGCGCAACACCAAGGGTTGCAATCCCGTTGCCGGTCCCCGGTACGGGCGTGACACCGAGGGTTGCGATCCCATTACCGGTCAGTAAGAAAGACAAAAAGAAAAAAAAAATATGTCTAAAGAAGCAATAAACATTATAAATTTCATTAAATTTGAATCCTTGAGTACAACACTTTTTAACATTCTGGGTTGATGAAATAAATATTCATAAGACGATTCTGTTCGCACGGAAGTATGATGGTTTTCTTGAAGAAAATCCCTTCTGCAATCAGTTGAATAGTGAGCAGAACTAACCACTTTTTTCATGGACATTTCTACTTGAAAGAATAACTAACAGAAAAACTATGTTGCCCACATTGAGTATTTAGCAGATTATTTCTTAGAAATGAACAAAGTGAGCTTGTCATTTCAAGAAAAAACAAATGACAGTATTTGGTAAAATTTGAGCCTTCAAGCAGAAATTACAAGTTTTGGAAAACATTTACCTACCACTGAGAGCTTGATAGCTTCTTAAAACTTAAAAGACTTTTCTGGTAAGGTCAGTGGTGACATTAAAAAATATGATTTTTAAAAACATTGACAATGCAAAGTGTCAACATTTGGAAGATCTATAAAACTTAATGAACAAATATTTTCCAAAAGATCAACAAATTTTAATGTTAACGGAGTATGAAAAATTTCTGGATATGGTTTCAGATTCCACATTGTACCTAATCTTCAAGAAATTACCACTTGTCCGGTTTTGGAGTCATATCAAAGAAGAATAGCCATACTTATCTGAAAAGGTTATAAGATACTTCTTCCTTTTCCAAAACTATATGAGTATATCTCTGTGATGCTGGGTTTTCTTCATACACTTCAACCAGAACAACATATCACAACAAACTGCATTCAGAAGCATGTGTGAGAATACAGCTATCTTCTACTAAACCATACATTAGAGATTTGCAAAAGTGTAAAACAATGCCATTTTTTGTTTCTGTTTTTCATAAAAATTATATTGTGTTAACATATAATGGGTTTATAATTGTTATTTTTAAATGAATTAACAGCTTAAAATTTTTCTGAGTTTTAATTTCTAATACGATATTTAATTTCTAAATATTGGTAGATATAACCTACATAAACAAAAGCTCTTTAGGGCTCTCGATAATTTTTAGTTACACCAGATCCTATGATGCCAAAACATTCAATAACTGCTACAATAGAACACAGAGACAGAGGGAGAGTAGGTTAGAAATAAGGCTGGAATAATAAGTAAGAGTCAGATTTTGCAAAACTCCATAGGCCTCAAGGATTTTGGCTGTTATCCTAAAGGCAATGAGAAGCCATCAAAATGTTTTAAGCAGAACAGAACAGAGTATACAGGGGCAAAGACAGAGTCAGAGAGATTATCATAGTAGTCCAGGCAAACAAAAGGGATATGGAGGGATGTTAAGAGTCAAGAAATATTTACAATATAATTAGGTAAATATAATAATAAATTGGATAAATGAGAGAAGGGGAAATGCAAAGACTGTTCATAGATTTCTGGCATGTACAATTTGATAAAACAGTATGTATCGTTAAGACAATTACTGGAAAAGGATCCTGCTGGGCAGGGGGAAGGAGGATTTGGGCATATTTCCAACATTTAGTTTTAAACAAGTTGTATTGAAATGTCTTTGACATGAGCAAATGGAGACAAATAGTTACAGAGATGTTCAGAACAGGAGCTCCAAGGAGAGGTCTAGAATGGAAATACAAATTTGGAACTCATCAGGATAGATGAAAATTGGTTGTGGGAACGATAAGACGACATAAGGAGAAAGTACAGGCTGCAAACAGATGAGTAGCTGACCAAATCTGACCTCAGACAGTTGTTTGGCCCACACTGTTTATATAAATTTTCCGTATTAGTTGCCAGCTTTTAAAAACAGGGAGATTTCACATAGAAATCAAATTTGGGGTTTCCATTGAAAAAAACTGGTAGCACACTGAATGACAACAACCAGTTAGAGCAGGGGTTGGCAAATACAGACAGCCTGCTGCCTATTTTCCTAAACAAAGTTTTACTGGAACGCAGTCATACCCATTCACGTATGTATTATCTAAGGCTGCTTTTAAACTCCCATGGCAGATTGAATAGTTGCAGAGAGACCTACTTATTTACTAGGTCTAATTATTTACTATCTAGCCCTTTACATAAAAAGTATGCCAGCCCTTCAGCTAGAGCCAATGGAGTAATGGCTACTCATTTCAGTTGAGGTGTGTGTTCCTCTAGTTTATCAGTCCCACCCTGCTTGCTTCACTCAGTTACACCACCTCCTGGCCCATGTAAGCACTTAAGTTTATGACTTCAAGTATACAAAGGGAAGGGAGATTAAAGTCAAATCCTGAGCAATTCAAACATTTAATTGTTTGAAAAAGGCTAGGAAGATACACCCAGAGAAGTAAGAGGCAATTTCAAATGGATTAAGGATTTAAAGAAAAAATTCAAAGAAAAATATACTAGAAATTATAGGCAAATATTCATGTAATCTTGGGGTGAGAAAGGACTTCTCAAGCCATACTCAAAAGGCAGAAAATAGAAGATTGTGAAACATTAAATTTGTACATCAAAAGGCACAGCAAAACTAAAAGGCAAAAACTAGAAAAAAAATCTATGACATAACGAAGGGTAAATATCTCATATACAAAGAGCTCTTACAGATCACAAAGAAAACAGCAAAATCTCCCACAAAAAAAAAAGAAGGGTGGTGAGTATGCAAGTCACAAAAACTAACAGGCCTACAAGGAGAAACAGACATATCTAAAATCAAAGGAAAAGATTTTAAAACTCTCTTGGCACTCAAAAGAGCAATAAGATTAAGAAGAAGAAGAATATTCAGGAAGGACTTTCTTTATGAGATACATAAGTACAGTAATTAAAACAGTATGGTAGGGGGGCATATATAGATAAGTAAACCAGAGAGCCTAGAAATAGATCCAAGTATGTAGGAGAACTGGGTTTGGCATTACAAATCAGTGACAAAAGATTCAATAAATGATGCTGGACTATTGGCTTTAAGCATGGAAAAGTCAGTCCCATATTTCATACCACATACAAAATAAATACCTGTAAAACAAAACTTGAATATTTTAGAATAAAATAGAGATTATCTTTCTGATATTGGGATAAGAAAGACAATTCATAAAAAGCAAACTATAAAACAAAATAAATCTGATATTAAAATTTTAAAACTCTGTATGCCTAAGATACCATAAAATAAAATAAGTCAAAGATTGGAAGAACCAATTTTTCCTCACTGATTTCTAATGCTACCTCTGTTCATGCGTTAGTATCTAAAATATATAAAGAACTCCAACAAATCAAGAAAAAGATGTGAACAGCACAATTTTTAAAAACAGGCAAAAAGTATCAACAGGTAATTCACAAAAAAGGAAACTTACTGAATAGCCAATAAATATGAAATGTTCAAACTCACTCATAATTACCACTCAGAGGAATGCAAATTAAAAAACACAAAATAACATCCTGTACCCATCAGTTTGATAAAAATTAATAATTGTGATAACATCAACTGTTGGCCAGGTGATGGTGGCAAGACCCTGGTAGTTCCTAGTAAAGCTAAACATATGATACTTTAAGACCCAGTAATTCTTCCTCCAGTTATTTACCCTAAGCCAACTCTCAAGATGAACATAAGGAATCAGTAAAGATCCATCCAACTCTGTCACTCATAGCCAAAAAGGAAAAATAACTGTTCAGTTTATTCACACAATGGACTTACTGAATAAACATGATTCATACATACTAACACAGACTAATATCAACATACAATATGAAATTTAAAAAATTAGATTACAGAAGAAAAGGTATAACATAGTGAAATATACATAATTTTATGGATCTATGTATATGCACGTGTGTGTGTATACATACACATACAAACATTGAAATGATTCACACCAACTTCAAGATATAGTGCTAACTGCTAGGAGAGAAAGAGAATGAAAGGACTTTAACTGAATCTGTAATATTTTTTAATTCTCAAAAAGTAAAAGATATCACATATCCCTAAGAATGGCCAAATTGCAGAGAGACAATATTAAGTGTTGATAAGCATATGGAACAACCACAACTCACATACTCTGCTGGTGGGAAAGTAATTGTTATGTTGGCTTTGGAAACCTCTTTGGCAACATCTACCAAAAGTGAACACACACCTTCCTTATGACCCAACAATTCTACTTGTATGTAGGTATCCAATAGAAAAGCATACATAGGATCACCAAAAGACATGTAAAAGAATGTGCATTGTAGCACTACACATATAGTCAGAAACTGGAAACAAACGCCCATCTTCAGGAAAATGGATTCATAAACTGGTATACTGACTTAACGAGAGACTGTACAACAATGAGAATGAACAAACTAGGACATCCAACAACATGGACGTATCTCACAGCTAATGTTCAGTGAAGGAAGCCAGACACAAGAGAATACACAGTATGATTCCATTTCTATAAAGGTCAAGAATAGTCAAAACTAACTTATGGGGTCACAAGTTAGGATAAGGTTACCTTTGGGAAGAGAGAGGTGACTAAAAGAGGGCACAAGGGTACTCATACGACTGTTTGCTCTGGGCATGAGTTACATGAATGTGCTCAATATGTAAAAATTCACAGAACTGTACAATTATGATGCTTTTATGTATTATATAGTACAAAAAAAGGAAAAAAGAAAAAAGGCAAATGAGGCAAAATATGAGGATGTACTTAATCCTGGTGATAGATACACAAGTGTTATTTTATTTTCTAAACTTCAGAATGTATTTGAAATATATCACAATTTTAAAAAAAATATTTAAAAAATAAAGGCACATAGGCACTTCCAATATTCTTTCTTAAACACTTCTTCACTGTCCTGCTGGGCTATCATTTCTGCAGACTCCTGTCTATTTGACTCACCTGAATAGCTGCTTTTGGGGACTTTTCTCTCAAGCTTCAATGGTTCTTTTCCATTCTCCAAATTGCAGTTCTCAGGTTTGGAAACTGGAAGCCCTATTCATTAAAAACAGAGAGAGAAGGAGGAAAGAAGGAAGGAAGAGAGGGAGAGAGGGAGGAGAAGGGAAAGGTAGAGAAGGAAAAAGGAAAGAAAGAAAAGGAACTCAGTTATTTGTGATGGGCACAAAAATCTATAATGGAGTATAGTACCAGCCCCTTAATCTACAAAGAAGTCAAGACATTACAGTAAGGTCTAGAGTAAAGAAGCACGGACCTTTAAGTGGAGCTTAAAGTATTTGCAGCAAGAGTGTGGGCTGGTAAGGAGTTAAACTGGGTTTGTAAAGACAAATGTTTTCACTGTCAAAAAATGAAGAGAATTTCTCTCAATTTCTTAACTGTGTGAAGAAATTTTGGAGAGATACTACAGATTAGTCCTTACTTTAGGAAAGAAGATGAAAAAACTGGGACCTCCAGGCAGCACCACAAAATTGTGAGGGTGGTAACTAGAGTTTTTATCTTCTAATGATTTCCCTGTTCCTCTCCAGTTAATAGAAGTTACTTTCTTAGGGGATTTGTTACATGAGGTTTGGGAGGAGCTAACGTAGTCCCTTCTACCCCACATACAAACATATGCACGTATGTGCATCCATGTGTGCACATATACACACACAATGGTGGGCACAGGATCCAGAACTGGTCAGAGTACTTCATCTCGCTGGCTCTATCGATTGTTTCACTAATGGGTGGGTGACCCTATTTGCTGAAACTCCCAGGGTAGAAGAATTTTCTTTTTTGCTTAGCATCCTAACTGGAAGAATAATGTAACCCCAGTGCTGCCAAAGGCCATCTTTGCCTCATGGGGAGATCCTAAGAATAAAGGTAATACAGGACAAAACCAAGCCAGTTGATTAAAAATAAATAAGTAATCTTGATAATATATTTGATTCCCTAAATCTAGATTGTTTTTCCCTTTCAAGTTAGTGTGAATTAGGTTTCTATCATTTGAATCCGAAGAATCCTGATACAAAACAAGCAGACTTTTCACAAAGAACCTAGAGCAGAAACAGATTTTCTCTAGGTCCAAAAGAGTGAACACTTTATGACTCCTGAATGCAAAAGTGAAGGCTTTGTTAAGCTACTTCACTTTTACTAAAGTAATGAGGAAGTAAATTTCAGAGTCGCAATGAGAATCCGTTCTTACAAAGCGAGACCAGGTTCCTATAGTTCTCCAGCATCACATCCCTTTGTACAGGATCCAGCTTTCCCCACTCCTCCGGCGTAAAGTCCATGGCCACATCCTTGAATGTCACTGTTTCCTAAGACACAAAACATACTTTTTTTCACCATCTTTCACTTGATATTGTGAGTGTGGTAATTTCCAGTTGCTGCTGGCCCTGGAGCAAAGGCCTGAGATACTCTCAACAGGGAAAGCGACAGTGATAAGTGACAAATATTCTAATTGTTTTCAGATTCTGAATAGTTTATGTAAAGTTACTGGGTATCAATTCTGTAACACACACACAGTGTTAGATTCAATATGAGAACCAAAAGAATTAAGATCGTGGTTTTTCCATTAGCAGATGAGAATTTTTCTGGGGAATAAGGTATTAAAATACGTATTAATGAGTCAACAATGTAGTACGGCAAAGTTAACAAAATATAAGCAAAGGAAAAAAAGGCATGTCTGCATGATTCCCCCTGTGAGTCAACCTAACCAATCAGAAGATGAACTGTAATACAGAACTTGTGAATGGAGAAGTCATGGAAGGAAAAGACTGGAAGCGAGCACCAAATCCAGTGAAACATGGAATCAATTCAAGGAAAAAAGTATTAAATTATGGAAAATGACAGCAACAAATTCATTTGATTAAGGGTACAGATATAACTCATAAATGTTTATGTGTAAAATATCATAAGATTACATTTCTATAAGACAAAAAATACAAAAAGTATAAGGAGATAGACATATCAGAACTCAACATGCCCCTTTAAGTCATAGAGAATGGGAATAATATCCCAAGGTTTCTGAAATAAATATATACCAAATGCTGTAACTGGATAGAATGTACCTTCTACTTAAACATTCATGAGGTATTTGCAAAACGTAACAAAGTAAATTTCAATAAATTCCAAAACAGAAATAGAACAGAGCAACAACTGATGATAAATAAAAAAAAAAATCAGAATATCAAAATAAAATAAAATACAAAGTGATGCCAAATGGCTACGACTGTACCCAAAGGAAATTTCATAGCTTTAAACACTTCCATTTCATTTAAAAAATAATAAAGTAAGTAAACGAGTGGAGCATACAAATCAAGTTAAACTAGTCCATTGGAACAAGATATTATTGCAAGGTTGTGGATGTGGGGGGAGGAATGGAAAGAAATATATGGAGGGAGGAAATACCACGTCTGAATACAGTAGTGTGAACTCAACAAAACTATGGAAAAACATATGACAAACTGTTAACCCGTAGTAGGAAGAGCTGAGGGATTGAATTTGGGGAGGGAAGTAATTACCTTTATATTTTTTTATGTCTGTGCTGTTCACCTTGTTACAATGAGCAAAAATCTAAACATTAATATTTTTAAAAATCTAATGAGACCAAAAAAATAGTCCAAGCAAATTATAATAAAAAAGAAAGTTACAATATTAACATCGAACAAAATCTAATGAAATGCAAAAAGGACAAAGAGAGGGTTTTTAAATTTCCGTAACAGGTTCCATCCACCCTGATAATAGCTGTAACAGTCTTAAATCTAATATCAAAGTGTTGAAATACATAAAGCATTCACCCTTCTTCTGGTACCTGTACCCTGATTATCCTCTAGACACTATGCCTGGACACTTTGTCCGTGTAGTTCAGGTAGTACTGACTCCATCTCTGACTCATGGGTGGATGTGTGTTTGTATGTGTGTGTGCAGGTATATTCCATAGACAATTATACTTAGATCTGGGCAGGAACTGGTCCAGGAATGGGCCTAATACTCTGTTAGAGTAAATCCCAGTGCTTCTACTGGAATGACATAGAGAGAAACTGCCCTTTTTGTCTGGCCTTCAACATAGGAAGATGTAAGACTAAGCTTGGTAGAGGCCAGCACTAGGAGAAAAGCCTGCTTGAGAGCAAAACCCATGGAGAGAGAGGAAAAGGTCAGTGATATTCGGTTTTAATGTTACTGCTTGAGCCCTTATCTAGCTAGACTGATTTTTCAGTTACGTTAATCAATAAATGTCTTTTTGCTTAAGCCAGTTTGAGGTGAATTTTTATCAACTACAACTTAAAACTTCTTCACTAATAAAGTCTTTAAGACTAATGTAAGGTGGCTGAGAAGCCAATGAAGATGAGCAGGTACATAAAGAACCCTGAGAAGTCACTTTTACAAACACTACCAACGTGCAATGTTTACTTTTTACACCTGGATTATAGCAGCAAAGAGGACTGACGAATCTTTGGGTTGCAGTATGCCACATTCATCATGGGGAGCTCCTTTTTTCCTACCCAACTTCTTTTAAAAATCTTCAAATGTACAAAAGTTAAAAGACAAACACAATAGGGCCGGCCCGTGGCTCACTCAGGAGAGTGTGGCCAAGAGATAACACCAAGGCCCCAGGTTCGGATCCCATATAGGGATGGCCGGTTCGCTCACTGGGTGAGCGTGGTGCTGACAACACCAAGTCAAGGGTTAAGATTCCCTTACCGGTCATCTTTAAAAAAAAAAGACAAACACAATAATCACTCATATAATACAACCACCTCTTAAATTTAACAATTCTTAATATTTGCCATATTTGCCCTTGTTTGGCAATTCTTAATATTTGCCATATTTGCCCTTGTTTGGCAACAATATAAAAGCAAGCTGCAACCATGATATTAATTCAGCATTCATCATCTCAGAGGATTGAATTCTAACTGTTAACTCTTTTAGTTAAGCCCTCACAGGCTTTCCTTTTTCAGCATTCCTCTGAACAGAGAACTTATTATTTTATAACCACTTCAGCATTTAAGGTGCTTTCCTAAATCCTTACTTAAAGTTACATGCATGTTGTTTTCCCTAGAGAAACAAATTTTAAGAGGTATATGCCACATTATCTTTAAAATAGTTTCCCACATTAACAAGCTAAAAATTAGCAGTAGACTGAAGGAAAATGCTGTTTACCTGCCTGTTGATGGACAAAAAGTAGCAGATGGAGAAGAAAGGTACTATGAGGAAGGAGGAAACATTTTCTACTGAGTCCATTAGTCTCCCAAGTAATCTCTTAGAGCTAAAAACTCATCTCTCTAGGTGGGCTCTAGTGAACAAAGAAACCCCACATCAAAAAGAAGCGAGTGTGTCTGTACTCTGTGAAACAAGATGGAATTTCAGTAATCAGTAGAGACACTCACCTGAGATCTGGCTGTGAGGCGCAGAGCTGTCACTTCTTCCTCTTCTGTGTTCTTCTCTTGAGAAAGGGGAGAATCCTGGGAAGACAGAGCTAAGGGCAAGAAACCATTCATGATGGGGCCTAGACCTATCTTGTTACTCTGATACACAAGTCTAAAAATCCCTCTACCATAACACATGTGCTCCCTACAAACACTGAGACTGAACAGAGCTCCAAACAATCTACCACCTCCCAGGATCATGAAAAATGTCCCAGAATGTTGCCACTTGGGGCTTAAATTCAGGTGCTATCATCATAACACCTTCTGGAAAATGACATTCTCTGCTCTAGAATTTAAAGTATGCCAGTTAATGTCCCAGATTTCTCTACACTAAATTAACATCAGAGATATAGGCTCAATGGTTCTCAAAAATCACCTTGCAAACTTACTTTAAAGGTAGATTGCTGGACCCCAAAGTAGTCATCATTGGTTGAGTTCTGGGTACTATCTAGAAATCTAGCAAGCGCCCCTGGGGGAATTCTGACAAGGAGGTCACAGACCACACTGGTCAAGAAACAATGGTCTAGTAGAACTGGAAATCAGTGACTTCCAGGTCTGTTTCCTCCTTTTGAAACACATACATTTGTTCTATCGAAGTCATAGGGTCATCGTGCGGACAAAGTGGGATGACAGGTGTGGGAAAATATTTTTGCCAATTAAAAAGCTGAATTCTCAGCCCCACTGATATGAGTGTAGGATGGGATAATCATTTGCGAGGAAGGGCGTGTGAGGAAAAGTAACTGAGGCTTTACTCATGCCTCAGAAGCTAACATTTCCCTCACTATTGGGGGGTGGCTTTCAAGGGTCCACCGTGCACACAGCTGGAGAGGAAAGGACGGTGATCTCATCCAAATCCTCCACTCTCACTCTAAGAGCTCATCTGCCCCCAAGGCATGGAGACAGAGCGCCCTCCCCGCCAAGAGCCCCCTTCCCTGAGGCAACCGATTCCCCTGCAGGAGAAAGCATTTCGTCCTTCCACCACACACCTTCAACACTTCAGCAACTCTCACCTCTTTGCTCGGGCATTTCGGCCAAATCTGTCTCCATGATCGCCACCTCCTTCTTGTTCTGAAGAGTCTGCTTTTCACCCCAATCCGGACCTCTCCGTGCAGAACGGTTAGAGCCCCCGAGGCTTCGTGTCCTCCTTCCTGCCTTCCCTCTGGGGACCCTGCTCCAAGGTCTCGGGCAGGGCAGGTCGGGTTTCTTGCTCACCGTGGAGCCTGCCTCGGTCCTACGGAGCTGGAGACTGGAAACCCGGGGACAGCGTCCCTGAGGCTGGGTCCTCCGATGCCTGTCCCTCCGCTTGGAGCTGTCCCTTGGGGGGACCGAGCTCCTGGAAGAGATGGCGCTGGGGCTGCCACCGAGGCCCAAGGAACGTAGACAAACACCGCCGCGCTCGGGACGCTCGCCCGGGACCCGCGCCGCCAGCTCCACGCCGCGCGCCCGCCCGCCCCGCGCTCGAACCCGCGGCCCGGCGGGGAGGGATTCGCGTCACGGCGTGACGGGATGGGGCTCACGGTCTGCCCTCGAGGCTCCCTTCCCAAACGCGCTCTCCAGCCCTGACTCGGCGCAAAACGACCCCCCGGGGCCGCCCCCGAGACGCAGCGGCGTCTGAGCCAGAAACTCACCTCCCATCCCGGGCCTGACAAAGGCGACGAACTTCTCGGACCAGGTCTGAGTCGCGCATGCGTAACAATGAGCGGGGCCCCGGGCTGGCCGACCTCATCCGGTCTGGAACTACGATTCCCAGAAGCCCCTGGGCGTCGCCCGCCTGTTTCCCAGCAGGTGGGAACACGCGTGGCGCGGTTGCGAGAATCCGAGGACGAGCAAGCTCTTTCCATCTCGCGAGACTATCGGGCAGCATTTCATGTGTCTGAACCGCCCGACAAGGGAGCGCGGGAACCCCAGAGGCACGGGCTGCAGTCCGTGTGCATGCCCGCGATGTCAGCACTGCTGCCTACAGCACAGTACTTAGGGCCTCTGAGTTCAACCCAGGTTACTCTGATGTAAGATGTTTTAGAGTATGTGGATTCTATCCATATTTTTGACCTAAAACTCAACCTTTTCCTTCAGAACGTGTAAAAGTTGTATTTTTAGGAAGAGCATATTCCTGTTTGTACACTCAGTCTGATGTTCTTGTATTTGTAGACTACCAGTAATCCTGAAAATTCATTTATGTGAGATGAGTTGAAAAGGTTGAACCAGCATCAGTAAATTTGAGCAACAAGTTCTTTGCAGGCATAAGAATTAGTTTAAATTTATCCAAAAAGGTTGTTCTATTAAGGGAACGTGGTTAAGTCTCTCCAATTGTTATGCGGCTAACCCACCCACCGCAAGCTCAAGATGTCTAAACTATCCCTCCTCTTCTCAGGGAATGAAATTACTACCCAGTCACCCACTTGCACAAGCCCAAACCAGAATATTCTCAGTTCTTTTCTCCAGCTCTTTTTCTCTTCTATTACATTTTAAAAATAGCTATCCAACTTTTTCGTGTCTATTCCCACTAGCATTGCCATACTTCAGGCCACCACCATTTTACTAGGCTTATATTCACAGCTTCCTATCTGGATTCCCTAACTTGAGTTAGCTCTCCACCAATGTACTCACACTTTCTGGCCAGTGATTGCTTTAAAGCAAGAATGTGGTATTACTTTATTGCTTAAAACCCTTCAGTGGCTTTCAGAAACTTTGGGGAAAGATGACTTCTGGTTCCCACGAGAAGGAACTTGCGACTCCTGTTATCTGAGCCTCCTGGTAGTCACACCCTTGTGCAATCCCCTCCCCTTGGGTGTGGGTAGGACTGTGACTTGCTTCTAACCAGTAAAACACAAGAGTAACATTAAGAGTCTGATGCTTGTCATGCTGAAATAGTAGGTGCTCAGTTTCCATGGGTTCTTGTTACAAGACACACCTCTGGATTTCAAGCCACTCCGCAAGTTCTCAAGTCCCTCCACTAGGCCCTCCCCTAGAGGAGAGTTACTGTTGTTTATTGCACCTATTTTCAGTATGGATATGGGGAGATTGAGAGCACAAGGGGTGGACTTATGCAAATCCAGTGGTTGAGCATACTCGGTAGAAAGGAGTCAGTGAATCTATAAAAGCTGAATCCTGGTAAAAGGTGGGGTTGTTGCTCGTTTTCCTGGGGCCAACCAGCACTTTGCCTGAGGTGTGTATTTCTTACTTTTAGTATCAAACCTGGTAAGAGGATGGGGTAGGTTGAGGCTGGATATTGGGCCTCCCCAGACCATCTCCTCCAGTATCATTGCTAGGAGATTCCTCCCTTGCTGGCTTTGATGAAGTGAGTAATGATGATGGGGAGGCTCCCCTGACAAGGGACTAAGAATAAAGGATTGAACCTAAGGCCCTCAATCCCACAGCCTGCAAAGACCTGAACCCTTTCAGCAGCTCCATGTATTTGGAAGCGGATCACTCACTGGAGGGCTTTCCCAGGAGAACCCAATCCTGCCTGACACGCTGACAGTAGGCTACAGAGGACTCTGTTAGGCTGTGTCCAGACCCTCACCCACAGAAACTGTATTAAGTGTGAGCTGTTTTGAGCCACTAAGTATGGGATAATATTGTTATGAAGAAGATAGTTAATACAGCATTCTAACATGAACAGCTATCACCTTTGCCAAAACCCAACATGGAGATTCTCCAGAAAGAGGGAGGTTGCTCAATTGACAAACTATTGGAAAGTTGACTTGAAACTCTGTGTGTGTGTGTGTGTGTGTGTGTGTGTGTGTGTGTGTGTGTGTGTAGACAGACAGGGAATGGTAGCTGCAATGGAAGATTCTAGATGCCACAGGAGTTTGTGGGGATGTGCTGTAGGAAATGGGGCGGCATTTCAGGGTTTTGTTTTGCTTATTTCTGTCCACTTTTCACATTGTCCTGGGTAAATCTTTGCCCAGTCTTTCAGCATTTCACAGGATAACCTTGGAGCTAGGTTGGGAGTGGAGTGGATACCAATACATACAAGCAGAGAAACCTCATAGGGTTTTATTCACCCTTCTCCCACCTCTGATACACACACACACACACACACACACACACACACACACACAAAGTGAGCCAGATGATTACAGCAAAAAGAAGAGGAAGTAGGGAGGTTTTCTGAGGGACAAGGTCCCCTGGTAAGAAGAGAATGGTAAATGAAAGAGTGGTCTTGCCCAAATTTTAACACCCAAGATCCTCTACATTGAGAATAATTCACATACACCCCCAGACACATTCATACATACACTTAATCGATAACTTGTGCCCTTCCTAGTGAGTTGAAGGAGTTGTAGGAAATACCCCAGAGTTTTCGTTCTCTTCCCTCTCTACGTTACCAGCTTATAACCTGGGCCTAGGAAATATATATGAGCTCACAGGAAAAACAAAATAACTGAGAATTATATTGCCATAAAAGAAAAACAATAAACTGAATAATCCATAAAGATGAACCAGAATTAATGGACCATTAGAATAAAACTCTGTGCTCTACGTATATAGTTTTAAAAAGCTATCCTAAAAGTGACAAAGGAGGACATAGGAAATGTCAAGCAAGAACTTGTCATAAAAACAAAAACAAATCTGTGTATGAAAAATATGATGGTTGAAATAAAATATTCAACAGATTGATTGAATAGCAGAATATGTAAAACTGAAGACTGAATTCCAAAGCTAGAATATCAGGTCAAGGAACTCTTCCATAAGATATCGGGAAGGGATAAAAAGTTGAAATATATGAAAGCAATGTTAAGAAATATAGAGATTGACTAGATTTTATATAATGAGAGTCATAGAAGAAAAGAATAAACAGAGAAGAAGAAACATTTTAAGAAACAATAACCAAGAATTGTGGAGGAATAAAGAAAAGTTGAAGACCTTAGATTAAAAGTATTCATAGGGAGTCAAATAAGAAAATTATGAAAAGTCACCACATATTATAGAGAAGTGTAACAGCATAAAAAAACAAAGAAGAAATTGTAAAACCTTCCAGAGACGAAACACAGATCACCTACAAAACAAAAACCACAATTAAAAAAAAAAAAATTGAATCCCTAGTGTCAAAAACAGTGCCTGGCATTTTATGGCCCATCAACAAAAAAGAATTGGATAAATAAATCTGTTGTCAATAGCAGCACTGACTACAATAAGAAAATGTAACAACTTTTTGGGCTGGCTCATGGCTCACTTGGGAGAATGTGGTGCTGATAATACCGGGGCCGTGGGTTTGGATCCCTATATAGGGATGGCCGGTTAGCTCACTTGGGAGAGCATGGTGCTGACAACACCAAGTCAAGGGTTAAGATCCCCTTACTAGTTATCTTTATAAAAAAAAAAAGAAAATGTAACTATATTTTTAAATTGTAAAAGATAAAACTTCGAATCTAGAATGTTACATTTTATTTAAGTATCATGTAAATGAGGCAAAATATGGACAATATTATGCATAAAAAACCTTGAAAATATTCTTGGAGGAAGTATTTCTGCAAGAAGAAAAATATTCAGGAAGATGCTTCAAGATATAAAGTAAGGGGCCGACCCCGTGGCGCACTCGGGAGAGTGCGGCGCTGGGAGCGCAGCGACGCTACCGCCGCAGGTTCTGATCCTATATAGGAATGGCCAGTGCACTCACTGGCTGAGCGTGGTGCGGGTGACACCACACTAAGGGTTGCGCTCCCCTTACCGGTCACGAAAAAGACAAAAAAAAAAAAAGATATAAAGTAAGGATAGGAATAATTTAACAAAGTGTTTATTATCTTCTTAATAAACAAGGAGAAGAGGTAGTGAGGCAGGGCAACACCAACTATATACATAGTAATACAACACTAAACTTTTAGATATCATTGGGGATGGGGTGGGAAGTAGAAATGAGAAAATGAGAGTAGTCAAGTTATCTGTCTTGATCAGGGGGAGAGTATATACATTCACAAGCTTAAAAAATGAACAAGGGGGTGGGATGGTGATAAAGAAACATAGGCATAGATCTTAATAAGTTAGGAACAGCAGGAGAATAAAATAGAATGTATAACATCCAAACCAGAAAAAAAGAACTTATCATTTAATAGAAACCAAGATAAGAGGAAAACAAGATACAAAAAGAAAGTATGTTTGAGAGAAAAGACAAAAGAAGGCCTGTTATGTCATTCATCACATTAAATGTAAATGGGTCAAACCCACCTATCAAAAGACAGAGTATCTCAGTTTGAGTTAAACACAAACAAAAAAACCAAGACAGAGCAACATGTTCTTTACAAAACATATATTTGAAGCCAAACAACACACAAACAATTAAAAACAAAGTGATGGCAAAAGATATAACAGGCAAATATGAGCTAATGATACCAAATAACAATGTTATTATTAATAAAATTAAATTCAAGATAATAACACCATAATGGTCAAAAAATGGACGTTATATACTTGTAAAACTCATGAGAAGGATGCTCTATTGTATTTGCTCATGCCTCTACTCTTTCTATGTTCATTTGTTCTTCCTTCCTGATGCTCCATGATTCGTTTATTGTTTCTTTTGAGTGAAGAACTTCTTTTAGCTCTTCTTTAATGATAAGTCTGAAAACAACAAATTCTTTTAGTTTTTATTCATATGACAATGTCTGGATTTCTCTATTCCTGAAGGATAGTTTCACCAGATATGTAATTCACGGTTGGCAGTTC